TCTTTTCTCCATCGCCAATTTTTAATCCACCTTTCTCTCTCTCAAATCACTCATTGTAATCATCAATCTCCCTTCTTTTTTCTCTTCTGTTGAAACAATCAAAACCCCAAAGTAAATCAAAATAAAAGTAAGGCCAAGAGAGAAAATAGAGAAAGAGGATGGAAAACCTCAAAACTCACCCCTTCAAGAAAGACATACAAAATTCTTACATTGTGAAATAGAAACACGGCATTGCCTCGATCCAAAAAAAGACAAAGAATGTCAAGGATCTTCAATCAAACAGACACCTCCAATAGCTCTTCTGTTCTTCTTCGACGTCAGCAGCTACAAGCACACGTCAACTCTTTCTCTCTTCTCCAACGACGTCAGTAGCCACCGGCATATGTCATGTTAGAAAATAGGCCCAACGCTAGAGGGGGGGTGAATAGCGTTTAAAACAAAATCGCAGGAAATTAAAAACAAGAGTGATAAATTAAAGAGCGTAAGGAAGGAGCACACCGAATTTTATCCTGGTTCACCACAACGTGTGGCTAATCCAGTCTTTCGAGAGACTCTCTCGAGTTACACTAACTCCGTTAAGCTTAAAGGTGCTCAACAAACCGATACAACTTGAGAACTCGAGTCACACGAGCCTCAACGCCTTTGCTCGGAGATACCGCACTCCAAGACTTCTCACGAAGGAACGAAAGACTTCCTTCAAGTTTACAACAAGGGAAAAACCTCCCTTAAAGTGTATAGAAACACTTAAACACTCAGGAATAAAACTCTCACAAAGAGTAGATATGAGTGAACTAGTAAACGCTCAAGAACACGACAATTTCTTTAAGAATTGGCTCTCAAATAGTTAAGAAAAATAGGAATGCTTATGCAATGAAAGAGTATTGAAATGTTGAAGAATTGTGTGTAAAATGAGAGGATTTGGGTGCCATTTTATAGCCTAAAATGGGATAAACCCGTTGCTAGAATTTCCAACAGGATGAAGATAAATTTTTCAGAGATGTTAGGTGATAGTCGATTGTCTAGCCTTGATAATCGATTATCAAAAGATTCCCTGTCCAAGAATTTAAAATTCTATCTGTTGGAGGACAATGGTAACCTAGATAATCGATTGTCAACTAGTGTCAATCGACTATCCGCCCTCTTAGATGTTTCTAGGTTTAAGGTACAAACGCAGATAATCAAGTGACAAAACATGTCAGTCGACTATCAGATGGTTCTGAACTTAATGTTCAGAATCTGCAGCAGCCAACAATCGATTGACATAAACTGTTAGACGATTATCAGCTGGTAAAAACCATCCAGCGAGAAACTTAACCCGAAAAGCCGAGGTCCAAAACCGAAGTGTTCCCAATAGTAAAAACCAAGTTTGAAAAACATTTTATATGGTATAAAATAGTGAAACCAAGACTTGTTTGATAAAAACCAAGTCTTTGAGGTCGTTTGTCACGTGTGTATGGTTATGACCGTTTTTCACGTGTTAGACCGATTGACCAAGATACAAAAGTGGTTTTTATAAAATAATTATAAAAAGAGGTTTAAAATATTGAAAACCACTGAGTTGGTTCGGATGCCGAAAACTGAACCCCGAACCCCGAATGCCGGACGCCGAATGCCGACCAAGGTGGTTTTTGGTCTCGGAAAGGACCAGGGTTTTTTTAATACAATAAAACTTTTAAAAACGTTTATTTTGATGCACAAAAACGTTTTATGATTTTGTAAAATTATTTTGACTCTTTGAGAACTGAGACTTGAATTGATTGTCGGTTTTGATCACAATAAGACCGACTCTACTAACTCTTCAATTCTTGATCTTTGTCCTTGAGTCTTTTGGTCTTGTTCCATTCCATTCTTCACGCCTCGAGTTGTTCAATGAAACTCTTCATATCCACGGAGGTTTAGCAATTATCAAAACCTGTCAGAAATGAACACGACTTTAGTTTAACGTAATAAAAAGGGTGTTCCAACATGTCAGACTTTTCTCTTCTCCAATGACATCAGCAGCAACCGGCGCACGTCAGACTTCTCTCTTTTCTAACGACGTTAGCAACCACCGGCGCACGTCAGACTTCTTTTTTCTCAAAGTTTCCAGTTTCCAGCAAGTTTCCAAGCTTCCTCTTGCTTCAGCCAGAGTTCAGCTTGAGGGGGATGTTAGACAATAATAGTAATATTACTTCTGGTAGTATTGGTTATGGTGTGTTTGTAGTTTAGACAACTTCCTATTCCTATTTATGGTAGATGTTGTATGTTAGTTAGTTTCTATTTTCTATTCATAGTTGTGTTAGGAGTCTCTCCTATATATATACTATATCATGTACTCCATAATTCAATGAGCAATATTATTATTTCAATATTTCAACATGTTGAAAATACTGGAATACAAATACTTTGACGAACCATGTTGAAATATTGGAATAATAATATTGCTCCTTGAATTATGAAGTACATGGTAGAGTATATATAGGAGAGACTCCTAACACAACTAGAAGTAGAGAATAGAAACTAACTAACATACAAAAACTACCACAGATAGGAATAGGAAGCTGACTAATAATTAAACACTACCATAACCAATACTACAAGAAGTACTATTTATATTATTGTCTAACATCCTCCCTCAAGCTGAACTCTGGCTGAAGCAAGAGGAAGCTTGGACATTATCTGGACTGGAAACTTTGAAAAGAGAAAAGTCTGACGTGCGCCGATGGTTACTGACGTCATTAGAAAAGAGAGAAGTCTGATGTGCGCAGGTGGCTGCTAACATCGTTAGAGAAGAGATAAGTCTGACGTGCGCCGGTGGCTGCTAACGTCGTTGGAGAAGAAAGAAGATTGACGCACGCTGGTAGCTGCTGACGTCAAAGAAGAAGAGAGAAGGTTGGCGTGCGCTTGTAGCTGCTGACGTCGAAGAAGAATAGAGAAGGCTACTGGAGGTGCCTGTTTGATTGAAGATCTTTGAAATTTTTGTCTTTTTCTTGGGTCCAGGCAATGCCCTATTTCCTTCTTGAATGAGTGAGTTGTAGATGTATTTTTTCCTCTTGCACTACTTCCCCTCTTGGCTTTGCTTTTGTGCTCATTTGCTTTGAATTTTTGTTGGTTCAATAGAAGAGAAAGAGAAGGGATGTTGATGATTAGAATGAGTGATTTGAGAGAGAAAAAAGTGGATTAAGAATTTGTGATGGAAAAAAGATTTAGGTCTGAGATTTTGATATGGTGAATTGGAGAGAAACAATAATCATTTTTTTTTCTTTTTTTGAGAAGATAGGATGATCTGAGAGAGTTTGTGAGGAGTTGTGTTTTTTTTGAAGAACCATGGAGATGACAAGAGAGAAGTTCCTCCTTTGATAGTTTTTTTGGTGTGATTTCAACTTAACAAGGGTTTTTTTTCATTTGAATGGAGAAGTTGATTTGAAGATAAAGAAGAAAAAGAAAATAGAGGTGAATAGGGTGGAGCCTCCGTCGCCGGAATTACCGGCGGCGGCGGTGGGAGCAAAGAACTTTTTTTAGGTCACTAAGAGCGGTGGCTCTGATACCATGTTGAAATATTGGAATAATAATATTGCTCTTTTAGGTCACCAAGAGCGGTGGCTCTGATACCATGTTTAAATACTAGAATACAAATACTTTGACGAACCATGTTGAAATATTGGAAGAATAATATTGCTCCTTGAATTATGAAGTACATGGTAGAGTATATATAGGAGAGACTCCTAACACAACTAGAAATAGAGAATGGAAACTAACTAAAATACAACTTCTACCATAACTAGAAATACTTAATATTATTGTCTAACATTCCCCCTCAAGCTGAACTCTAGGTGAAGCAAGAGGAAGCTTGGACAGTAGCTGGGAACTGGAAACTTTGAGAAGAGAGAAGTCTAACGTACACCGGTGGCTGCTGGCGTCGTTGGAGAAGAGAGAAGTCTGACGTGCGCCGGTGGCTGCTCACGACGTTGGACAAGAGAGAAGTCTGACATGCACTGTTAGCTGCAGACATCTTTGAAGAAGAGAGAAATTGACGTGCGATGGTAGTTGCTGACATCGAAGAAGAAGAGAGAAGGTTGACGTGCGCTTGTAGCTGCTGACGTCGAAGAAGAATAGAGAAGACTATTGGAGGTGCATGTTTGACTGAAGATTTTTAACATTCTTTGTATTTTTATTTTCTTGGATTCGGGCAATTCCCTGTTTCTTTCTTGAAGGGGTGAGTTGTAGAGGTATTCTTTCCTCTTTCACTACTTCCTCTCTTGGCTTTCCTTTTGTGCTGATTTACTTTGGATTTTTTATTGGTTCAACATAAGAGAAAGAGAATGGAGGTTGATGATTAGATAGAGTGATTTGAGAGAGAAAAAAGTGAGTTAAGAAATGGTGATGGAAAAAAGATTTCGGTCTGAGATTTTGATATGATGATTTGGAGAGAAACAACAATCATTTTTTCTTTTTTTTCATTTGAATGGAGAAGTTGATTTGAGGATTAAAAAAAGAAAAGAAAATAGAGGTGAATAGGGCGGAGCCACCGTCGCCGTAATTACCGGCGGCGGCGGTGGGAGCAAATAACTCTTTTAGGTCACCAAAAGCGGTGGCTCCGATGCCATGTTGAAATATTGGAATAATAATATTGTAATTATGAATGTCTAACACATATATGTATATGTATATGTATATGTGCATGTGTGTGTTTGTGTGTGTGTGTGTCTATATATATATATATATATATATATATATATATATATATATATATATATATATATATATATATATATATATATATATATATATATATATATATAATGCTCTCTCTCTCTCGACCGCCGGAGACGATCTCAGGCGCCCAATCCAAGCTTTTCTCCGATCTTTTCAAACCTTCAAAGGATGTGGCAACAACATCGATGAACTCCCCTCCTCCTCCGCCGAAGATATTCAAGGGATGCCCATCAATCTCTTTCTCTAAAGAAGAAGTTGATGGTCTCGCAGGGAAGTTCAGATTCGCACTCATCGGAAAATTCAGAAGACGGCCACCACTCTTAGTCCTTCAAAATTTCTTAAACCGTCTCGGTTTCTCTGGCGGTTTTACGGTGGGGGAACTATTTTCTAATAGTTTTCTCATTAACTTTGAGCGTGATGAAGATTATCAAAGGTTCTTCTACCGAAAAATCTGGACACTTGGAAAAGACACGATGTATGTCACTAAATGGTCTCCAAACTTACGGCAAGATGAAGACTCCCCGAATGTTCCAGTATGGATCTCTTTCCCTCACTTACCCATCCATCTTCATGAGCAAAGGGCCCTCTTCAACATAGCTTCCATGTTGGGAACTCCTTTGAAAGTGGATCAAGCCACACTCAACTTCACCAGGCCTAAATGTGCTAGGGTTTGTGTTGAAGTTGACGTCTCAAAGCCCCTACACCAACGCATCCATATCAAACATGTGGATGAAGATCTTTTCTTCCAGGTCCAGTATGAAGATCCACCAGTTTTCTGCAACTTTTGCCGGAAACTTGGCCATAACCTCCATTCATGCAAGCTTGCAAAACCCATGGTCAGAGAACCCCTCAAGGATCAGGAAATCCATAAGGTACATGACAAAAACCCTGCAGCTGTGCTAGATGGCTGGACTACAGTTCAACGTAAGGGGAAAGCCCCTGTCAATCCTCCAGCCAGACGAGAAAATCGACGAGAAGATACGTCCAACAAGGTTCCTCAAAAAACTTGGGTCCCAAAACCCATAATAGATTACAACCAACCGGAAACTTCCAAAAGAGGTGAACATAGAGGCCCTACTTTTATCCCATCCACCACAACTTTATTTTTGGAGCCTTCCGGTCTGGTGCATTCCCACTTACCACTGCATGCAGAAGTACATGAAGCTGTCCCAGTGGCCAACTCAGAAAGCACTGCAATACAACCCATCCCTCTTGAAGACACATCAGAAGCAGACATCCCTCTCGAGGACACATCAGAAGAAGACATCCCTCTCAAAATGACTTCCAGCTCAGCCCCACCTTTTCCTAAGGCTAAATCTCACACGTCTAAGGTGTGTACACGTTCAGGTTTCAAGAAATCTGGTAATGGAATTCTCCTCTCCCTTTAATGATCAGAGTTCTTTTCTGGAATATAAGGGGTATGTCACATAGGTGCAAGAACATAACCCTTATGAATAAGCACCACTCCTTTGATTTCCTTTTTATTATTGAACCTATGCTTAACCTCAATAAAGTTCAGTCCTATGCATTAAAACTTGGCTTCAATGGTTTCCTTAGCACCTGCAACAACAGAATTTGGTGTTATTGGAATACGGATAATCTTATTTATTCTGCTCATCAAGAACACTCTCAGATTACTCATTTCAATATGACAACTAAAGGGGGAAACTTTTCCTTTGTTATTAGTGGTGTTTACGGTGCCCACACTACTGGGTCTAGGAAAGCTCTTTGGGATAACATTAAAAGTTTCAATGAATCTAACTCCTCTCCTTGGCTCCTTGGAGGTGATTTCAATGCTATCTCTGACATCCTCCACCACAAAGGCAAGAAACTCCCAGACCTGGAAGGAGTGGAAGACTTCCAGAACTGCATCTCAGACTGCAACCTACTTGAAAGCAGCTTCACAGGTCCTTGTTTCACCTGGCACGGAGTGAGGAGCAATGGGAAAATTTGGAAGAGGCTTGATAGGGTTTTCTTCAACGAAAAATGGGCTCAGTCTTGGTCAACCATCACTATGCAACACGTCTCAAAAGGGGGCAGTGACCACTCCCCAATTATTACCACATCCAAGAATGAGGTGGCCCAAACACCAAGATCCTTCCGGTTCCAAAACATGTGGCTTCTCGATGGGAATTTTAAGAACCTTTGTAAGATATGGTGGGAAGAAATCCCCTATTATGGGGGTATGAAATGCCTTTTTCACAAACTCAATCACCTCAAGACTAAGATATCTACTTGGAATAAAGAAAGTTTTGGTAACATCTTTGACCTAGTTCAAGAGGCAGAAAAAGAGGCCAGCAAAGCGGAGATGGATTATGAAAATGACCCCTCTGAACACAACAGGGAGATTGCCAACCTAAAACAGGCCCAACTCATCCAAATTGGAAACAAAGAGCACTGCTTCTGGAAACAGAAATGTAACCTTAAGTGGTTTAAAGATGGAGATGCTAACACTAGTTTTTTCCACTCTCTTGTCAAGGATAGAAGAAGACATCAAAGAATCCACTTCTTGAAGGATGACGATGGGCAAACACAGAATGATCCACTAGTACTGGAAAGCATGGTGATTTCCTACTACCACAACCTTTTCAACAACGCTGAACCTACCCCAGCTGAAGACACATACGAAGATTTCCTTTCTTCAATTCCAACAATAATTGATCAAAACCAAAACCAATTCCTCATCCGACTACCAACTGAAGAAGAGGTGAAAAACAATCTGTGGGAAATGGATTCCAACTCTTGTGCTGGTCCAGATGGTTACAATGTTCATTTCTTCAAAGAATGCTGGGATTTCATCAAGAGAGAAGTCACTTCTGCATGTCAAGAAGTGTTTTTGGGTATTCCTATGCCTAGTGCTGCAAGTAGTTCTAACATCTGCCTCATCCCAAAATGTGAAAATGCTTCTAAACTTTCTGATTTCAGGCCCATCTGCCTCTCAACTGTGGCTTCCAAAATTGCTACCAAATGCATTGCCAACAGACTAAGGCAACTATTACCCCTGATTATTTCAGAGGAACAAGGAGCCTTTGTGCCAGGACGAGAGATCTCTAACCGGATCTTAATCACTAAAGAAATGGCCCATAATATGGACAGGAAAGCAGAGGGGGCCAACATCATCATCAAACTAGACTTGACAAAGGCATTTGACAAAGTAAAGTGGTCCTATTTACTTGACATCCTTCAAAGATTTGGTTTCTGCCGCAGTTTCTTACATATGGTCAAAACTGTTCTCAAAACCTCCAAATATTCAGTGCTTTTTAATGGAAAGCCTTGTGGTTTCTTTTGGCAATCTAGAGGAATTAAACAGGGAGATCCTCTCTCCCCTCTCCTTTTTATCATAGCTAATGAGGGCTTCTCTAGAAACATTAACAAACTCTTCATGAATGGTGTCCTGGGCAGGTTTAATTGCGGTAGAAAAAGCATCCCCATCTCCCACCTCTCATATGCTGATGATATAATCATTTTCACTAATGCCCATCTTAAAAGGTTCATCCTCAACTACCAACAAGTCTCTGGCCAAACCATTAATTCTTCCAAATGCAGTTTTTTCACAGGGAAGAAGTTCAACTCACTTGGAATAAGGAAACTGGAGAAACTTCTAGACATGCCCCACAGGAAATTCCCTTTTACTTACCTGGGAAGCCCCATCCATACTGGCATCACAAGAAAGTCCCACTGCACCAACATCATCTCTGCATTTGATAGGAAACTTAATGGTTGGCACCAACACCATCTAGACCAAGATGGAAGATTGATCCTCATCAACCATGTTCTCAACACTATCCCTAACTATTTTCTTGCTACCCACACTATGCCTAAATCCATAGTCAACATCCTCCACCAAAAAATGGCTAGATTTTGGTGGGGTGGTAATAGCAAGAAGCACCACTGGCTGTCATGGGATACTTTATCCTTACCCAAAGAAGAAGGAGGGATTGGCACCAGAAATTTCCAAGCCCTTGAAGAAGCGTTTAGCATGAAACTGTGGTGGAAGTTCACTCATAATGATAGTCTCTGGTGCAGGTTCATGAGAGCAAAATATATGCGCAATGGAGACATGGACTATCATTTGGTTGATTCACCAACCTGAAGTCGAATCTCTAAGATAAATACTAAAGCTAGCAACCATTGCAGTATTCATGATGACACTATGAGTTGGAACGAGGACTCAACAGGGATTTTCACTCTCAAAAGTGCTTATGAGATCTGCAGATCCAAATCAAGCCCATCCTATGCATATAGATGTATCTAGGATTCTCATCACAGCCTTAAGATCAACATTTTCACATGGAAGATCTTTCGTAACTGCCTCCCAATCCCTGAAAACTTGCGTAAGATGGGATTTGCTCTACCTTCAATATGCCCCTTCTGCAAATCCAGTAGCCTAACAGCCAAACATTGCTTTGTGGACTGTGAAAAAATTGCTGCCATATGGATTCATTTTTCTAGATGTCTCAACTTCACACATGCTAAAACCCACTCCCTCATGCAACACTTCATGAACTGGTGGATGCGTAGCACTTCAAATCTACATGGCTTCCTGAGACTTCACCTTCCTTCCATCATCACCTGGCACACTTGGAAGAAACTGAATGACATTACCCATGGTGAGGCCACTGAAATCCACATCCCTACTCTCATTCACCAAATTGCCCTATACACCAAACAATGGATTTCCATCAAAGCTCCACGTAAAATGCAACTTAATGATCCATCACTTTCCCACCATCATTTGATCCCTAAATTTCAAAAACATAACCCCATCAGGATGGTTAGATGGAAATGCCCACCTACGGGTCGCCTCAAGCTCAATGTAGATGCCT